TTTTGCAGCGACAACAACGATCCAGCTTTATGATATAATTGTCCCTGATTTTTTGGATATTTTTATGAGTTACTTTCTGCAATTTCAGCTGTAGCTTTGAAAGAAGTCATTTGGAAGAGAAGTTGTGTATGCTTATATTCTGTAAAAAAAATGCTGGGATTCTGAGGTCATGCCAGCAACATACGAACGAGTGGCTCTGGTGGATCAATTAAAGACGGAGCTCGTCTTTTACCGTTTGCAGAACACATTCCAGGGCTTCCGCTTTGAAGTTTTTGGCCTGGCGGAACTCGCATATTGAGTCCATTTTTCCAATCACAACTTTTGGATGCGCTGAATAATAATAGTTAGGGTTGTAGCTAAAAGCTGCTAACCTTGAATTGCCACACCTAACTATATGCCAAGGTTGAATGTGTCGTCTGCAGTGATGTTCCAATCGTAGTTCATGATGTTTCTCCTTCTCTACTGCAGGCGCTTCGAACTTTGTCAACTTTCTTCAAGTCGTTGCTGATATTGGTCAAGTGTTTCCGCGCAGCTCTCAGACCGGCAATTCTTTGCCGATTTTCTTCAGGTAGCACTCATGCTGCTCGTGTGCAACTCTTTGACGATTTTTTTTCTAATCGCTGCTGATGCTGCCTGCTCCTCACTTGTCTGCTGCTGCCCTTAGTTTTCAGTAACTCTCTGGCACTTCCCATTGAGTCCAACAAAATTTTGCTCACACTTACGTTTTCGTAGTTCTTATTTCTACACTTCCTTGAGAAATTCCATGAGCTTCGGATTGCTCCAAAGTTTTAGAGGCTCTCGAATCAGCCACTCTTGATCTATATCTTTCAAGCCTTACCTCGCTCGGAGGTTTCTGCTTCACGTGCTTCTCTCATCCTCTTTGCATTAGGGTTGGCCTTATCAATACACTGTCTCTTTTCAGGCAGCGCTTTAAAAGTTTTTGGAATAGATCATATCTTTTTTGCATTCTTTCATTATCCCACCGCACAATGCGTAGAGGTAATGCGCCGAAATAGGCTGAAGTTGATTTACGCATCGTGCTAAGCTCTTGTCATTATATGCGCATTCTCAGGAAAATTTCAAACACTCAAATCAGACCTCGGCGGCAGGTTTCCGGAAAACAAGCTGCAATTCGTTTGTGGAAAAAGCAAAGGGGAAATCGTATGGGGTTCGGAGAAGAGCGGAGTTCAATTCAATTAGGACCGCTTTTTCCAAAAAAGAATGTTTCCTACCATTCCTCATATTATTCAATTCTATACGCATTCTG